CTGCGCAACCCACCCGCCGTTCCGCGCGTCGACGTCAGGCCTCGAGAATAACTCGGCCCCCTCCTCCAGCTTGAGGGCGAGGGGGTCAAGGTGCGATCCCTCTGCCACTGAGATGTTTATGGACACGTTCCTCGTCCGGTCCTCTCGTAGGCGCCGCGGAAGGAGAGGCAGAGTGGTGTCTCTCGCGGCCACGCTGGAGGCAGGCAGGAGGAACGCGGTTACTCGACGGTTAATGATGACGATGATGATGATAATAATAGTAATGACAGTAATAATAATGATATAATTATTATCATAACTTTTGCTATTACTACTAAGACTATTATAATAATGATTTTGATAGTAACAATAATGTGGTTAAAAATGAATAATAACAATAATGATAACAAAGATAATGATGATAATAATTATGATAGCATTAGTAATGATGATGATGATAATAGTAATAAATAATAATAATAATGATAATAATAAAGATGATAATAATGATAATGATAATAATAATAATAAGGATAAGAACAACGATAATAATAAGAGTAATAATAATAATAGTAATAATAATATCAATAATAATAACATTAATAATAATAATAATAATAATAATAATAATAATAATGATAGTAATAGTAATAATAAAAGCGATAAAAATAACAATCATAATATTAACAATAATAATAACAACAACATTAATAGTAACAACACTAAAGATAATTGCACTAATAGTAATAATAATCATAATAATAATAATAATCATAATAATGATAGCAATGATGATAATGATAATGTGAAAGTAATGAGAATAATAGTGATAATGATAATGATAATAATAATAATGATAAGTGCAGCAGGGTATTGGAAGGGAGGCGGAATGAAAGAGAAAGAAGAACAAGAAGAACACACATATACATACATACACACATACACAGGAAGGGATGATTAAAAATTAATGTTCTTTGAGCGCAAGATATATGACTCTTGCAACGTTCTTCGTTCTCGTTCATAACTGTTTCTAGATATGTCAAAGTAAACTCTTCTCTCTTATATACGTAATTTCCGTTATATATATATATATATATATATATATATATATATATATATATATATATATATATATATATATATATATATATGTATATATATATGTGTGTGTGTGTGTGTGTGTGTGTGTGTGTGTGTGTGTGTGTGTGTGTGTGTGTGTGTGTGTGTGTGTGTGTGTGTGTGTGTGTGTGTGTGTGTGTGTATATATATATATATATATATATATATATATATATATATATATATATATATATATATATATATATATATATATATATAAAGAGAGAAGAGTATATTTTGACATCTAGAAACAGTTATGAAACAGTTATTCATGCATGTGTATGTTTATATATCTAGCATATGGCTAAATATCAGCTTTTTCTGCCCATTCGCGACCCTAAACAGCTGCAGAGAAAGAAAGGGAAGGAGGGAAAGGGAGAGAAGCGAGCGGGCAGCGGGGCGGGGCGCGGGCGGGCGGCGCGGGCGGGGGCGCTGCACCGACGCCCGGCGACCCAAACGGCTTCCCGCCTCAACGACGCAAACAAATCACGGGCATCGCCTGGGAAATGTTTATCGCTCGGACGCCGGCGAACGAGCGTGCGAGATGGGTCCGGAGGCGAGGCTGCGCCCTTGGCCGCCGCCGCGTGATGGGCGACATCTTGAATGTAAATGCTGCCTCCCGTCGGCGCTTCCTCGGGCACGCCGCTGATGGCTGGGATGCCCGCGAAGGATGATAGAGGGAGGGGCATGGCGCGGCGAGACACGGGCCCCAACCTCGTTATAATTCACACGTTATCATAAATCACTTTGCGTTTAATCTCGGATAGTGTTCTGATAACATAATTCAGATTCCTATCAACCTGTGAGTACCCTGGGAGCAAGCGTTCGGCCCTTGCATACTAATGAGAATGTAAATTGAAAATTAGCTCACAAGTAGGCTACGGAGCCCCGGTCATCCCCGCCCACAAGCCGGATTTGAATTTCGCGCCTGACCTGCCCTGACCTCTGGTGGCCGGCGCATAAATTACCCGCCAAGACCGACCGGTCCTGCGGGAACCAGCGAAGGGGAAGGGTCACGCGGATCCTGGTCTGCGCCGAGGGACGCACGCCGAGGGCGTCCCCTCCGTTATCTCTCGAAGCATCTTCCTCCGGGCGAGACGATTCACTCCAGCCTTGACGGCGCTCTTCTTCGCCTTCGGGAGGAGGAGGAGCTCGGGCGTCGGGAGCCGAGGGCGGGAGAGCCAGCCGAGCCGCTGGGTCGGCCTGCGGTCGGGGCCGGGGGGGGGGAGCAGCCGACGGGGGCGGGGGTTGGGGAAGTCTGCTCGCAGGTGATAGACAGAGATATAGATATATAGACGGATAGATGGATAGATAGATAGACAGAGTGAAAGAGAAATCATCTATATCTATCTGTGTGTGTGTGTGTGTGTGTGTGTGTGTGTGTGTGTGTGTGTGTGTGTGT